CCGCACGCTCCCGCGCTCTCTTCCGCTCTGGGGGCTGTCCTCTTCGCCGCGGCCGCGCACCACCTGCCGGCCATGGTGCTGTGAGCGCCGCGCACGTGCACGCCGCGCACGCGCTCTCCGCCGCCGCGCGCCCGCGCGCCCCGCCTCCCGCCTCCAGCTCGTTGGGCGCGGGCCGCCTGTTCTCTCCTCGCTTGACACCCCCACCCCGGCCGCTGAAGGCCCGGCGCCCGGCGCTGTAGGTGCGTCCCAACAAGTGACCCCCTAGGCACACAGTCTGCGCTCCGTCTCGCAGGTGAGAACACGGAGGGGCAAGGGTCCCTTTTGCGGGCCACCCGGCTGGGGCGGCTGCTCGGCCGCCTCCTCCTCGAGGGTCCCCACGCCCGGCGCCGGGGGCGCTCTGGCACACCTGTCCAGCCGGCTTCCCGGGCTGGCATCCCTCGGGGGTGGCAGGGCCTCAGCGGGGACGGGGAGCCTGGCGGCGGGAGGCGGGCGGCGGGCCGGTGCGCGCACGGCCCCTCTGGCTGCCTCTTGGGACTGGTGCCCCGCGGTGTCGCGAGTCACCGACACGATCTTGAGAGCTGGGGGCCCTTCTCCTCTTCTGGCCACCTTACCCCCAAAGCCGGCTCCCGGGGAGGGATGAGGCACGAACAGGGTGCAATGTGCCGGGCAGGCCGAGCGCGAGGGCAGACGGAAATCCACTGGGGTACCCGGGGAAGGCCCTCTTGGGGCCTCAGTTTCTCCCTTCCCCATCCATAAAATGAGATAGTTGGAGCCATGTCTCCTCCCCTTCATCTCTGACTTCTTGCTCAGGGAGGAGAAGCGTCCCTTCCCCTCCTGGCCACACTCCTGCGGGAAGAGGGCAAGACTGGCTTCTCGGCGGAGAAAGCACTTCCAGGCAGTGTGCGATCCTGGTGGTGGGGGCGGTGGGGGGTGTCCGCCCCGCCTACCCACACCCTCCCCTGCCTCCTCCCGAGTCTCCCCAAACTCTGGCCTTGGGCGCCCTCTGGTGTCTCCTGTCCCACCTTGCGGTCATGTACCAGAACTCCCGAAGGGCGTTTTGTAAAATAAAGAAACTATAATAATAATGAAAAGTATAAAATGTATAGAGTTTTCAAGAAACTGTGTTCTACTTCCAGAAAATGGTCACTTTAACTTTGTAAATATTTATCTAAAATGATATTTACGAAACTGTGATATATATTATTTGATTGTATATGTACAACTGTAAATACATTTGTACCTCTCTTGTATTCTAAAATAAAAATTACTTGGAACATTTATCACTTAGCATCCGAAGGGGTCGACACATTTATCTGCATATCTGCATGAAGAGGAAATGTGGAAAGTGCCTAGGAACTGGAGAGGGGATGGGAAGAGTTGTTCCACTGCTTTTGAAAGTCACTATTGTGCCCTCCCCAAGGAAAATTCTCTGGCACACCTGGGATGTCAGCTCCCAAAGAGATTGCCACAGTTCAAAGCAACCAGAAATCTCTGACGGGGCTGGGTGTAATCTTCATGCTTCCAGCTGACTCTCAAATATTGGCGTCCCACTTTGTTACTTCCCCCAAATCATTACGTACCTTTTTTTTTTTTTCTTTTCATGGACAACTTAAGAGTATTCAAGTAGCCCGTGGGGGTGGACCAAGATGGCCACCACATGCCCTCCCGATGCCTAGAATTTCCAAATGCTCGGGGTACCCATTTCCAGACCCTCCCTGAGGAAGTCAAAAGACCAGGAAGGCCATCAGTGCAGGACCAGGCCCTGGCTCTCCTATCCAGGACCTCCTGGCCAGGAGGAGGTGTGCCCCCTGGAGAGTGTGAGTTCTCATCTGTATTCCAACATCTACGAGTTGGAGGGTCACCCGTCCAACCCACTGGCATCCCACAGGCACATGTCTCTGCATCCTCAGTTGCCACGTATGTGTGCCCACGAGTACACACACACACATACAGGAAGACACTTGAGCTCACACTTTTATAGGCAGGCCATCCCCATTTGGAGCTTCAGGTACTCCCAAAGACCCCCATACTTTGGGGGACTGGTCTTGTACCCGGGCAGATGGAAGCACGGGGAGAGATGTACATTTGGTGTGTCCATTTGCAAGGCTCATCTGGGGTTTCCTCCCTAGGGTCAACGGGGAAAGTCACCCTTGGTACTCCTCCTCCCCTTGTCACCAACCTGGCCTCTCCTTGAAACCTCACCGCTAGGCTTCTGATGCCTCCAGTGGCCCCCGGTATTACCTTCCACCCACTGTAGGCCCCACAGAGGCCTCTTGTTTCCATAAATAAATCTTGAATCTCCTTTCCACTGGATGCTGACCAATAGAATTAAACACCCTCCCCACCCACCTGCCACGCCTCCCAGAGAATAATGCTGGCTTCCTTCAGCAGTCAGACTTCAGAGAGGGCAGTAGGGCCCTTGACCAAAAATCTCCATGGCTCTCCCTGGGTAATTCCATTCTGAGAAGTCCCTGCTGCAGAGCCCAGGATCCACAGCCCGCGCTCCAGAACCCGCCTGGTGGCAGCAGGCTGTAATTGCAGGCTAAACTGCCTTTGCTCCCCAGGCTATGAACCTCTGGAAATGTGCTGGCGAGAGAGATCGAAGGATGAGCAGTGTGGAATGGGGGTCCTGAAGAATTGCACACTGGTGGGAAGCCTGATTCCGAAGGCCTCAGCTCTTACCGTGCTTGCATTCCCAGCCGATGCCTCAAGCCCCTCTCCACACCCTCTCCTCCCCACAAAGGCACACGCGAACACCACTGGCAGTTTCTGGCCTTAGGGATTTAAATGCACTTGTTCTGGGAATCCTCCCCACAAACCGGTGAGGCTGATGCTCTTTTTTCCTCCCTGATGCACTATTAATATCCATTTGAAGTAGAAGAAAACTGAGCTAGAGAGTAAATCATTTGCCCACGTCACCTGTGGGCAGTGGTAGAGCAGTTTTCGCAGTGGCCGCTGACCCTAGGAGCCATGCTCACGACCAACCAGTAGGCCAACCACATCCCAGTCGGCCCACAGAGTCGGTCCAAAGTGCTTTGGGCATATCCCACAGGGATCCTGCGGACCAGCCCGTATACTGGCCTTGTATTCTTCAGCCTTGCAAAACTCGCTTACTCATCCTAGAAGCTTTTTTGTAGATTCCTCAGGGCTTCTATGTACACGATCATGTTGTCTCCGAATTGAGACAGTTTTACTTCTTGCTTTCCAATCAAGATGGCTTTTTCTTTCTTTTTGTCATCTTACTGCATGGTTCAGGAACTCCTGACAGGAGTTCCTGCTTTGAAACCCTGCTCTGCTGCCCTTCCCTGGCTGTGTGACCCGAGGCAAGGCAGTTAGCCTCTCTGTGCCTCAGTTTTCTCAAATGGAAAGGAATGTTGTGAGGAGTAAGTGGGCTAACGTATATCAACAAATAAAGCATGTGGCGTCATGACTGGCACAACGTTAAGTTCAACAAACAGAAGCCGTTGTTAAGACAGGGGTGCCTTTGGTGGGTGAGAAGGGCTGTAGCTTCTACCACCCACCCCACTGGGCATTCCCCCAGAGGGCATCTGAAGCAGCTGTCTAATCCCTCTTCCCCTATCCTTTGCCATATCCATTATTCTTGGATCTCTTGAAATAGAGGAACAGATACCCCAAACTTTCAGCTTCCTTCCCGCCTCAGAGCTGACCTGCTGGGATGTATGTCTGTGGCCGGTGGGGAAAGTTCCAGATGGGGGCTGATTAGCACCTGTGCCAAATGCTTCCCGCAACGTGGTTGCCTCGGCCAAATCGGACATCTTGCATGTCGGCCCAGGGCTTCAAAGACAAGTGCTCCAGGAACCTGCCCCCACGTGTCTGGTACGTGGCCCAGGTGGGATTAGGGCAGGTGGAGAGTGGCCCAGAGCGACCCTGCTGCCCCCCACCCCAAAGGAGGTGGTTGAGGGTGTGGACTCTGGATAGGTTGGTAGGGAATGGCTAACCCAGGAAGGGACCTCAGTTCCAAGCACTGATATGCAATGAACAAGACATAAAGCCCCTGGTTCTTGGAGGACCCCCGTTCTGGTGGAGGAAGTCTGCAATAAACGAACACGAACATTCAGTGACAAGAAAGGAGACAGAATCGAGTGATAAAAAAGGGACCAAGGATTATTCCAGAGAAGGTGCTCAGGGAAGGTTTCTGTGAGGAGGTGAGAGTTGAGCTGAGGCCTGAGTGAGAAGCAGCAGCCAGCCCCACCAAGACCCACGGGAAGAGAATTCCATGCCAGGAGCATCCCAAGTGCACCAATCTTGAGTTGGTGACCAGAGCGGTGTGTGTGGAACGAAGGCAGGTGAGACCGGCGCATCTGACTGCGGTGGAGGGAGTAAGGGGTCGGGTGAGGAGGGGAGCGAGCTCAGAGACATGTCCCACGAAGATGAGTTTGGATTTTATTCTTGGTGTAAACGGAAGCTGCCAGAAGTATTCTAAGCAGGAAAATGGTTTAACCTGATGTGTTTTTAAAAGCTCACTCTGGCTGCTGTTTGGTGATTGGATGGTAGGAGGGGCAAATGTAGAACCCAGGAGACCAGCCTAGAGGTGGTGCCTAGGTAAGAGATGACTGAGGGGCCTGAGGAAAGTGCACAGATGGGAGGTAGATGGATGTGGGGGGAACTGATGAATGTTAGACCCGATAGGCCATTCAAATCATTGGGGGAGTTAAACACACACTCACAGATTTCCAAGACCCCACCTTTGTAGTACCTCAGTGCCCAAGTTTGGGCTCAGGAATCCATAGCCCTTTTTTTTTTTTTTTTTAAGATTTTACTTACCTATTTGACACAAAGAGAGAGCACAAGCAGGGGGAGCGGCAGGAGCAGGCTTTCCGCAGAGTGGGGAGCCCAATGTGGGGCTCAATCCCAGGATCCTGGGATCATGACCTGAGCCGAAGGCAGACGCTTAACCAACTGAGCCACCCAGGTGCCCCGAGGAATCCATATTCCTAATAAGCCCCTCTGGGATGTGCACTCTGTTTCTGGGTGCCCAGGTGTCTGCATGGTATGAAGAAACAAGTGTGATGCAGAGCACTGGTGAGGAGTCTGGAGTCTCAGGTGCCAGTCCCAACTGCAAGTCTCTTGTGGGACTCAGAGACCCCAAGGACCATCAGGAATAGCAATTCCTACCTCCAAGATGGGTCAAGTGCGAGGAATAAGTAGCATGTGTCAATAAAGCATCCAGCAAAGGACAAGGCCCTTGAGAAGTGTTTGGTAAATGGCGCAGGCTTTGGGGCAAAGCAGGTGCAGTAGGAAGGAACACTGGCCCTGCCACCAACCACTCTGTGCATTTTAGTCCTTTTTGACCCTTCATTTCTTCTTCTATAAAAAAGTATCTGCAGTGGATATGTGTCTCCTAAATCCATGTGTTGAAATCCTAACCCCCAAGTTAATGGCATGAGGAGGTGGGTCCTTTGGGAGGCGATGAGTTCACCAGGGTGCCTTAGAAGAGACACCCCAGAGACTCCTCTCACCCCTTCTGGGCCATACGAGGAAACAGTGAGAAGTGAGTTGTCTGTGAACCAGGAAGCCATCTCTCAACAGACACGGAATCCTCCACTATACTAAGTAGTCATAATCCCAATGCTGTGACAGTCCCTAGAAACGTGGGTGCTGTGAGAATGGGAGGGGCAGAGGTTATGTCCGTCCCTCCTGGGATGAAAGTGGGTGATGTCCAGAGTACCCTACTCTTGGTCTAGGGGCACTCCCAGGCCTAGCTCCCTAGCGGACTGGGCTACCCTGGCTCATAGGACACCACTGCCCTCTTATGGCGGAGGCCAGACTCAGCAGATGGACCCTTCTCACACTTTCGTAGCTCTATCCCCTTCCTCCAGGCAGGAGGGGAAGTGTCTGACCTGTGGACGTCCCATGGAGTCCTGGAATTTATATCATTGACTGCCTTGCAGGATTGACTTTCTTGACAGATCTAGCTGTGAGCTTTGCTCAGAAAGAAATGTCCTTTCGGAGGTTTAGCAAACTGGTCTGATGGATCTTCGGGAGGAGGTGGACCTGATTTACTGAGTACAGTGCGTGAGGCTGATACAAGTTATTTAATCCTCTTTAGGGTCCCTGTGCATAATCATCAGCTCCAGTTCCCTGAGGCTGAAATGCAGTTTGTTGTGGATTCTATAAATCATGTAGGGCAAGGAGGAGGGAGAGGGTAGTGGGAAGCAGGGAGGAGGGAAGTGCTGCTATTAAGTAGGATAAAGAGGGAGTGCCTGGGTGGCTTAGTCAGTTAAGCATCTGCTTTGGGTTTGGGTCATGATCTTGGGGT